ACTTCAGTTTTGCCCGATTTCGATTTCTCAATTTTTCAACATATTACTGTTGGGATTTTTCAATTTATCGATTCTTCTATTTCTCGATTCTTCATATTTTCGGTTTCTCGAATTTCTTCATTTTTCGATTTCTCAATTTTCCGATGTTTCAGTGTTACGATTTTTAATTTTTTTTATTTTTCAGTTTTCAATTTTTGACGTTTCTAAATTTTTCGATTTCTCAATTTTTCGATTAACTGATTTTTTGATTTTCCCATTTCTCTATTTCTCGATTTTTCAATTCTTTCTTCAATTGTGATTTTTCAATTTTTCCATTTCTGAATTTTTCAATGTTTCAGTTTTGAATTTTTTCACTTTTTCGATTTTTCAATTTTCCTTCCATTTTTCAGTTTTTCAGTATTTCAGTTCTGGGATTTTGCAATGTTTCGGTTCTTCAATTTTTCCATTTTTTGATGTTTCGATTTCTCGGTTTTTGAATTTTTCGATAGGTATTTTAATTTTTCAATTTTTAAGTTCTAGATTCTCCGTTAATTTTTTTGTTTTCCTTGATGTTTTGATTTCTCGATTATTCGATTTTTCAAGTTCTCGGTTTAGATTTTTTGGTTTTCCAATCTTCGATTTTTAAATTGTTTAATTTTTAGATTGTTCAATTTCTCGATTTTTAGATTTTTCAATTTTTCGGTTTACCGATTTTTTTTTTCATTAAAAATGTTTCAATTTTTCAATTATTAACTTTTCGATTTTTCAATTTTGGTCTAAATTGATTTCTTAATTTTTTGATTTTTTGACTCCTCTACTGCTGACGTTTTGATTTCTCGATGTTTCAGTTTTTGAACATTCCGATGTTTCGATTTTTCGACTTTTTGGCTTTTCGAATGTTCAATTTTTTGATTTTTGAATTTTAGATTTTTGGTTTTTTTTTGATTTTTTGGTGTTCGATTTCCCAATTCTTCAATTTTTCGATATTTTAATTTTTCAATTTTTCAAATTTTAAATTTTGGATTTTTTAAATTTTACATTTTTCGATTTTACTATTTTTTGATGCTTGGATTTCTCAATTTTTCATGTTTTCAATACTCAATTTTTCAGGATTTGAATATTGAGAACTTTTCAATTTGTGGATTTTCAATTTTCAGATATTTTAACTTTTTGATTTTTTTAATGTTTCGATTTTTGGGTGTTTTGATTTTTCGATTTTTAAAGTTTTTGATTTTTACTTCCCGAGCGTAAGCAAAGGAAGTATTGTAATCGAGTCCGTCGGCCGACTCTCTACTTTTACGTTTTCTCGATCTTTCATGACCCCTAGAAGACGAAGAAATAGGTCTCCCATTTCCGTCTGTCTGTCCGTCTGTCCGTCCGTCTGTCCGTCCGTCTCTCCGTCCGTCTGTCCGTCTGTCCGTCTGTTGTCCCGGATTTTTATTAGACAGATAATCTCTGAAAGTACTCGACCGATTGTTGTGAAATTTTGTACTTATATTAAGAATATCATGTAGATGGTAAAACGCTAACCAAAATTTGTCTAATCATCCCCACCACTAATGCGATGACGTCACTTCAAAATTGTACATAGTAAATGGGTTTTCAATTGTATAAAATAACATAGTCCTACACATGTAGTTTACAACTCTGAATCGACTTTTCACCCGAAACGTCCAGATTTTTGGAAAAAAAATCAAAATTATAAAACAACATTTTGAAATTTAATTTTTAATCTGCTAACCCGAATGCTTTGAAATGTTGCAGATGTTTTAAGGCTATAAAGAGCATCATAAATCTTTAGTCAAAAAATATTTGCTTATCCCCTCCAAAAACTTGATGACGTCAGCTCAAAAGTTTGTGGAATAAATCATATCTAAAATGTACAAAATATGATGAGTCTGTACTTGTGATCTATCACTCCATTCATATTTTTTTGATTTGCATATACAGGGTGACTCAAAAAAATTAATGAATGCGTAAATATATTTTATTGATTTAATCAGGAACTACAAAACGGAATGCTCTGACATCTTGCACATGTTTTAAGGTTATAAAGAGCATAATAAATGTTTAGTCAAAATATATTTGCTTATCCCCTCCAAAAACTTGATGACGTCAGCTCGAAAGTTTGCCGAATAAATCATATCTAAAATGTACAAAATATGATGAGCCTGTACTTGTCATTTATCACTCCATTCATATTTTTTGGATTTGCATATACAGAGTGACTCAAAAAAATTAATGAATGCGTAAATATATTTTATTGAATTAATCAGGAACTACAAAACGGAATGCTCTGACATCTTGCACATGTTTTAAGGTTATAAAGAGCATAATAAATGTTTAGTCAAAATATATTTGCTTATCCCCTCCAAAAACTTGATGACGTAAGCTCGAAAATTTGCCGAATAAATCATATCTAAAATGTACAAAATATGATCAGTCTGTACTTGTGATCTATCACTCCATTCATATTTTTTGGATTTGCATATACAGGGTGATTCAAGAAAATAAATGAAAGCGTAAATTTATTTTACTGATTTACTCAGGAACTACAAAACCGAATGCTTCGAAATCTTGAAGATATTTTAAAATTATCATAAGCATGGTAAATTTTTGATCAAAACGTATTTGGTCGTCCCCCCTAAAAAATTTATGACGTCACCACAAAATTTTGCTGAATAAATCCTATCTAAAATGTACAAAATATGGTGAGTCTCTTCTTGTGATTTATCATTCCATTCAAATTTTTTCGATTTGCATATACAGGGTGACTCAAAAAAATTAATGAAGGCGTGAATTTATTTTATCGATTTAATCAGGAATTACAAAACCGAATGCTTTGAAATCTTGGGAATATTTTAAAGTTATTATAAGCATGGTAAACTTTTGTTCAAAATGTATTTGTTCATCCCTCCTAAAAAAATTGATGACGTCACCCTTAAATTTTGCTGAATAAATCCTATCTAAAATGCAAAAAATATGATGAGTTTGTACTTGTGATTTATCATTCCATTCATATTTTTTAGATTTTCTTAAGAGGTGGTTCAAAAAAATTAATGATGTCAATTTATTTTATTGATTAAATTAAAGGCAACACTTATTATTAGTATTACACCCCAACCAACCCAATTTGGTAGACACAAAATTTGTTAAAGGAAAAACTCGGTTGAAACATAAGGGTAGCACGCTTATTTACATCGACTTTAACATTACAGACCTGCATTTGTTTTATGCGCTCACTTGGTTCCGCGAATGTGAAATAGACATGTTTATAATCAACCAATTGTGAATTTCACCGTCAAGAATTAAAATAAAACCCAATGTTTTATATAATAAGCGGAAGTCGAAGCAATAAAACCGATGGTCGTTTTGTTTGCAGTTTCTCTGTTTGACTTTCACGTATGCTGTTACGCTTGTCATCTTAAATTAAGAATGTTTATACATAAACGATTTTCAGTTGCCGTATACGTGAGTAAATTGTTTCGTTATTTTATTGATTATAAAAAATCAATATTCAAAACGACCCAATTCATTTTCCCGAAAATTTGGGAATACAATAATTTTATTCTTAGTATTACACTACATCTATCCCAACTGATATACGTGTCCTTGCAAAAATGTTGATGACGTCATCGCAATTTTTTTTAAATTCCCACTACAAAAATGTAATGAGAAAAAAAACACAATAGGCATGCAGTCGTCAAGTTTCCGACAGCGAGGGAAGTACTGTCTAAACTCTTTAGACCAATTTTTTGCTTTTTCTATTTTATGTATACCTATTTCATTTTTCAATATATATTAGCATATATTATTTTTACTGAGAGTTTATTTTTTAATTGAACATTTATTATATAACTTAGCATTTATCATTTTTACCGAGCAAAAATACAGAGCGTTTAAAAATAGAACTGTGCATTTAATTTGTTCCCTTATCTAAATAACAAGAAAACGATATTAATAATACATTTAGGCGAATAAACTAATAGACGGGCTTTGATAAGCCTCGTTTGCTCTACAGTGTCTAAATTGTGTTTGAATAATATAATAATTATCTCGAATATTAAAATTAATATGTCAAAAGAATACGAGAAATGATTATTCTGTGCTGAAGGTATGTTGTGGGCCGCCTTTCATAAATTATCATTATTCTTCATTATCGGCTTACCATGTTTTTATGACCCACGTCCGGTAGTCGTCTATCCCAGCGCGTCAGCTAGATTTAAAGAAGAATTGCTGGTTGCGTTTAAGGCAACAAATGGCGCCCAATTCAAACTTGTCTCTCGTCTAGCGTTCCCCCTTAATGTGAAATATTTGAAATTTGGCAGTTTAGTTGCATTGGTTTTGATGATTTAAGGCTGATCTGCCGGTGTAATTCTTGCAGTTAAGTGTAATTTTCACAGAGACATTTTAAAAAGCGTTGTTCACGTCTTCATAGAACCATTGTTTACTGTTAATTAAATGTACATATATTAGCGTTTTCTAATAACGCTGAATTTTACAACCCTTTAGATCCATCATGAAAAAGAAATTAATGAAACGTAAAATCGTAATCAGAGAAGCGGGCCACATCTAAATTTCAACACGGCATCTCTGTTATAGGGCGCTTAATTAATTATTTATAGACCGTTACAAAATGTTATTGTTATTACACTATTTTTAAGTCTTTTCCAAAAATTCATTTGCACAAAGTGTAGTAAATTGTGTACACGAATCAATTTTAAAGTGAAGCGTTTCTGATCCTTTTTAAATTGGGTGGCGACATCTAGAAATATTTTGGGCAACGACCACCGATGACGCTTAAAATTCGGGTCAGAAAGATCAAAGGCGCCGACACGAGTTGTCTCTACTGATTGACCTTTATACAGTGGTAATGGATGTTATTTGCGTAAAGTACATTTTAGTTATACAACACTCAATACGCATGTGTTTAGGTGGTTGCCTGACTCCAACATTGATCTTTTACCACCAACTGGTAATATAAAAGGTTGAAAGATCAAGGAATGAACAAATAAAACAACTCTGGATAAAAACTTTAATGGAACAAAGTCAAACTGTGTCATGGTACCGCCACTGGTATTCTGACAGTTCAACCAGTGGTGATAACCACATAAAACAGCCAACACAGGGCTCTATTCAAACTTACAAACACACACGTGAAATGGAATTAAAACATTTTCCACTCCATAGTTTCAACTGTAATTACATACACCGCTAAGAAACAAAACTTACAACTCTCAACACACAATTACACACAGACAAACAATTACAGTTCATCATGGCCAGTGTGCTGCTTAACAAAATCATGCAAATCTTCCAGCGTTCTACTACCACTGTACTCGGATATTTTAACCCCGTTTTTGTACAGATATATAGTTGGGAAGCCCTCAACCTAGAAAAAAAAATTAAAATTAAAGAAATTGCAATTGAAAACAACACAATACTCACTTCCTGTTCATTGCACAGATCCTTATTGATATCCAGAGTACAGTCTACCTTCACTATATTGACGTTACCATCACCAATAAACTTTTTTCCCAACTCATCCCATGTAGGTGCCAAACGCTTGCAATGGCCACACCAAGGTGCAAAAAATTTGACAAAAGTAACACCATTTTCAACCCCATGTTTAAAAGTGTCACCAGTAAGTATCCCCACGCCTGCTTCTTCATTTTGTGTTTTACCAGCTTCAGTGGGTGCCTCAGGGGACCCCATTCTTTTACTAACATAAGATTTCAAAGCCTCATGAGACCGGTCTCCTTGATACTTGTCAATCTAACAAACAAAGGTGACGTTTTTTTATTAAATCACTTATACAAACAATTAAAACAACCTTTTTCCCATCTTCAATCCACAACAAAGTGGGATACCCTTTAACTTCAAACTGGTTACAAATTGACCTAAACTGTGTACAATCAACTTTTGCAACAGAAATAGAAGAATCAAACTCCAGAGATTTGGCCAGTTGCTCCCACACCGGTGCCAATTTCTACAAACAATTTTTAAACCCATTTATTGAACCCTTGTGATTTATAATTATATACTTGACAGTGTCCACACCACGGGGCATAAAACTTGATGAAATGCTTCCCACTGGATACATACTTCTCGAAATTCTCCTCATTCAACTCAACCAATCCGCTCACCGGCTGTGGTGGCTTGATTTCCGCTCCTTCGTCCTCCCCCTGGTGACATTACCTTCACGTTGACCTCAATGACCTTTACTTACCTCTCGCAACTGCTCGTTGATGAACGTGGTCAAGGTGGGCAAATCCCTGGTGCCCCTGAACTTGATCCCTTCACCTGAGCCAACTTTAAAGAATTTGAGTGTGGGGTAGCCCGTTACGTCATGCTCCGAGCACAAAGAGCTGTCGGTTGTGCAGTCGACTTTGGCGATTTTTATGTTGCTGTCTTCTTCGTTGAGCATTTCGGCGAGCTGCTCCCAGGTGGGGGCTAGTCTCTGGCAATGGCCGCACCTAGTGATAATGAGCGGTTTTATGTCTGGGGGGCTACAAAGCGACTTGTGTTTACCATGGCGCGTAGAACATGACAAAGTGGTTTTTCTTTGGTAGTTCTTGAGCAAAGTTCTCTGTGGAGTACCTGATTGTGTGGACATCTTCGTCGTGGCTAAATGCGGTTATAAAAAACGTACACAAAACTATAATTGACACCGTTGAAGACATTATGGAATTCTGATAGAGGTTTTATAATTGGAAATTCATGTAAAAGTGCTTTATCACAGCCAAATATAAACAACAATGATACCGCTGGAAAGAAAATGACAGGAGAAATTTGAGTGCGGCCGAGACACCTCCAAAATATCAGGGCTGCCAACGTAGCCGACTTGTTGACAGTGGAGAAAAAAGCAGTGGCGGCGATGCGGTTTTGATCAATTATGAAATTTGATTTTAAAGAAAAGACGACAAAAAATACAAAAAAAAATAGAACAAGTTGTAAAAAGCTGGAAAAAGGGTAAAAAAATATATATATATTAATTATATTTATTATTTTTTTGACAATATTTCTAAATCTTATTTATCTAAAGGTCACAAAAATGAGAAAAAAACTATCAAAAAAGGCGGTAAAAAAGGAGACAAAAAGAGAGTAATAAAAAAGCTACAAAACACCCTGCAAACAAAGGCCATAAAAATACGACAAAAAAAAACAATAATATCTTCCAAAAAGGTCACTACAAACGACAAAATTGCACAAAAACGAAAAAAACGCATACAAACTTGACTACTAAAACAGCCAAAAATAAACACAAAAAATACCAAGCACAGGACAGAAAAGTGGACAAGAAAGATAAAAAAAGAGGCAGAAGCAACAAGAAAAGACAACAAACAAAGTCTACACAAAAATGTGACAAAGTACGGCAAAAAATGCGCAAAAAGACAAAAAAATTCCCAGAAAGCAATAAAAAAACAAAAATAAAAGGCAAAAAAGGAAACAAAAAAAATCCAAAACAAAAGGACTAAAAGGGGAGTGAGAAAAGACTTAAAAACGAGTAATAAAAAACATCATGAAACACTGCAAACAAAAAAGTTACTACAAACGATTAAAAAAATTGCAGAAAACGGAAAAAACGCATAAAAAAATCAGCTACTAAAAAGAAAAAACAACGATGCAAAGAGGAGAAAATGGAAGACGACAAAACGGGCACAAAAAGATAAAAAAGAAGGAAAAACAACAAGAAGGAGCAACAAAGATAAAAAAAAATCCAGAAAAAGACGACAAAAAATGCAAAGAAGACTATTCAAAAATAACAAAAACCTGTCAAAAACAGAAAAAAAAGACATACAAATTTAAATTAAAGACAAAAAAAGATAAAAATGGGACAAAAAAATATAAAAAACAGTAAAAAACCAGTCACACAAAAATGCAACAAAAACAACAAAAAAAAATTGGTTAAAAAGGAACAAAAAGAGGCAACGATAAGGACAAAAAATGCGACAGAGAAGACGACAAAAAGTGCGACAAAAAAAAACATAAACACAAAAGAAAGCATAAAAATGCGACTACAAAAAGGCTACAAAACACACAAAGAGGTCTATAAAAAAGAGGACAATAAAGGCTTTAAAAAAGAGTCGAAAAAATCTACAAGAAAATTAAAAAAAAAGCAAAAAAAGACAACAAAAAAAACACGTAGAAAGGGGTGAAAAAAATTACAAAAAACCTGCGACGAAATGAAGGTCACAAACTAAACTATAAGAAATGCAACAAAAAACGCGTAAAATAGTTGTCAGAAAATACAACAAAAAAAGACAAAAAAGTAAGATCGAAACAGAATCTACAATAAAATATGACAAAACAAGCAACAAAAAACCGCCAGAAAAATGATAAAAGAAAAAGCAAAAAAAAATCGAAAAAACTACAAAAAAGAGAAAAAGGGAATACAAAAGAAGACTCAAAAATGGAACAAATATAGACGACAAATATTTAAAAATAAGAAATGGAAGAATCGAAAACTTGAAAAACTGTAAAACTGAAACATCGGAAAATTGAGAAGTCAAAAAAATTAAAAATCCCAGCAATGAAATATGGAAGAATTGATTAATCGAAAAATCGAAATTTCAGAAATACAAAACTATAAAATTTAAAATCGAAAGAAAACCGGAGTCGAAAAACCGAAAAATAGAGAATCGAGAATCCAAAATTTTAAAAATTGAAAAATTGGAAAATTGAATCTGAAAACTGAAAAATTCCTAGACTGAAACGACGAAAAATTACGAAATCGAAATATCGAAAAATTGGAAAATCGAAAAATTCAAAAATCGGAACATCAAAAGATCGAGAAATCGACAAGTCGAAATTGAAAAATTGGGGCCAAAACGAGGACGAAAAGGACGAAAAAGGAAGACAAAGGACGAAAAAGAACGAAGAGGACGAAAAAGGACGAAAAGGGATAATAAGGACGAAAAATGACGAAAAAGGATAATTAGGACGAAAAATGATAATAACGACGAAAAAGGGCGAAAAGGACGAAAAGGGTGAAAAAGGATAATAAGGACGAAAAAGGACGACAAAGGACAAAAAAGGATAATGAGGACGAAAAAGAACGAAAAGGACGAAAAGGACGAAAAAGGGTAATAACGACAAGAAAGGACGAAAAAGGACGAAAATGGATAATAAGGACGAAAAAGGATAATAAGGACGAAAAGGACGAAAAAGGACGAAAAAGACGAAAAGAACGAAAAAGGACGAAAAGGACGAAAAAGGATAATAAGGACGACAAAGGACGAAAAAGGATAATAAGGACAAGACAGGACGAAATGGACGAAAAATGACGAATAAGGACGAAAAGGACGAAAAAGGACGAAAAGGACGAAAATGACGAATAAGGACAAAAAGGACGAAAAGGGATAATAAGGACGAAAAAGGACGAAAAAGGATGATTAGAACGAAAAGGACGAAAAAGGATGATTAGGACGAAAAGAACGAAAAAGGATAATAAGGGCGAAAAAGGACGAAAAGGAATAAAAATGACGAATAAGGACGAAAAGGACGAAAAAGGACGAAAAGGACGAGAAGGAGGAAAAAGGATAAAAAGGACGAAAAAGGACGAAAGGGACCAAAAAGGACGAAAAAGACGAGAAAAGACAGCAAGGACGAAAAGGACGAAAAAGGATGATTAGGACGAAAAGAACGAAAAAGGATAATCAGGGCGAAAAAGGACGAAAAGGAATAAAAATGACGAATAAGGACGAAAAGGACGAAAAGGACGAGAAGGAGGAAAAAGGATAAAAAGGACGAAAAAGGACGAAAGGGACCAAAAAGGACGAAAAAGACGAGAAAAGACAGCAAGGACGAAAAGGACGAAAAAGGACAAAAAGAACGAAAGAGGACGAAAAAGACGACAAGAACGAAAAAGGACGAAAAGGACGAAAAATGACAAATAAGGATGTAAACGTCGAATAGGGACGAAAGGGACGAAGCAGGACGAAAAATGACGGATAAGGACGATAAGGACGAAAAGAACGAAAAAGGATAATAAGGACTACAAAGGACGAAAAAGGATAATAAGGACAAGAAAGGACGAAAAGGACGAAAAAGGACGAATAAGGACGAGAAAGGACAGCAAGGACGAAAAGAACGAAAAAGGACAAAAAAGACGAAAAAGAACGATAAGGACGGAAAGGACGAAAAAGGATAATAAGGACGAAAGAGGATAATAAGGACGAAAAAGGATAATAAGGACAAAAAAAGACAATAAGGACAAAAAGGGACGAAAAAGGATAATTAGGACGAAAAGGACGAAAAATGACGAATAAGGACGAAAAGGACGAAAAAGGACGAAAATGACGAATAAGGGCGAAAAGGACGAAAAAGGATGAAAAGGGATAATAAGGACGAAAAAGGACGAAAAAGGATGATTAGGACGAAAAGAACGAAAAAGCATAATAAGGACGAAAAAGGACGAAAAGGACGAAAAAGAACGAAGAAGGACGAAAAGGAATAAAAATGACGAAAAAGGACGAAAAGGACGAGAAGGAGGAAAAAGAATAAAAAGGACGAAAAAGGACAAAAAGGGACGAAAGAGGATAATAAGGACGAAAAAGGATGATTAGGACGAAAAGAACGAAAAAGCATAATAAGGACGAAAAAGGACGAAAAGGACGAAAAAGAACGAAGAAGGACGAAAAGGAATAAAAATGACGAAAAAGGACGAAAAGGACGAGAAGGAGGAAAAAGAATAAAAAGGACGAAAAAGGACAAAAAGGGACGAAAAAGGATAATTAGGACGAAAAGGACGAAAAAGAATAATGAGGACGAAAAAGGACGAAAAGGACGAAAAAGGGTAATAAGGACGGAAAAGGACGACAAAGGACGGAAGAGAACGAAAAAGGAGAATAAGGACGAAAAAAGACAATACGGACGAAAAGGACGAATAAGGACGAAAAAGACGAGAAGGATGAAAAAGGATAAAAGGGCGAAAAAAGACGAAAAGCACCAAAAAGGACGAAAAAGGACGAACAGGAGGAAAAGGACGAAAAAGGACAGCAAGGACGAAAAAGGATAAAAAGGACGAACAGGACGAAAAAGGACGATAAGGACGAAAAGGTCGAAAAAGGACGATAAAGACGAAAAGGTCGAAAAAGGACGAAAAGGATGAAAAATGACGGATAAGGACGAAAAGGACGAAAAAGGACAAAAAGGACGAAAAATGATAAAAAGGACGAAAAGGACGAAAAGGGACGAAAAAGGACGAAAAGGACGATAAGGGCGAAAAAGGATGTAAAGAACGAAAAACTGAGAAATCGAAAATACAAAATTTAAACGATCGAAAAATTCAAAAATCAGAAAATTGAATCGAAAACTGAAAAATCGAGAATCATAAAAATTCCCAAAGTGAAACGGCGAAAAATTGGTAAATCGAAAAATTTAAAAACTGAAAAATCGAAAAATTCAAAAACTATAACATCGAGAAATCAAGAAGTCGAAAAATAAAAAAATAGAGAAATCGCAATAGACCAAAATCGAAAACTGAAAAAGTTAAAAATTGAAAAATTTAAATTAAAAAAAAAATTGATAAATCGAAAAACTGAATGATCGAAACATTGAAGCAACGAAATATTGAAAAAACCCCAAAACTGAAATATCGAAGTGGCCAATGGAAAAGTCGAAAAATCGGACACTTGAAAAATCGAAAAACTGGAGAACTGAAAACCCAGAAGTCGAGAAATGGAAAAATCTAGTTTAAAAATAAAAACCGACCAAAAACAGCGAAAAATAGTGCTAAAACCCTCATGAAAAACAATGACAACGAAATAGTGTCAAAAAATGAAAGGACGAAAATGAAGCGAAAAAAGCAACAAAAGAAATT